AGCCGCGGAAAACTTCAGCGAAATCCCCTCGTTTGTCGCCATCTTGAATAAGTTATCGTGACGTCACAAGGCGTCACAGTTTCCCCATTTCACGCAGTTTTCGTCGTGAAAACGACCAATTTCGGACAATCGCCCTCAAAATAATTGATGAAATAGTTTCGGGACCCATCGACAGTAGAAAAGTAGAAACTTGAGGCGAAAATAATGAAAAAAACGGCTGTTACGGCCCGACCTGATTTCAGGTCGGTAAAATAGGGTAACTCGCATAGGATGGAACTGTAGCTCCCTGGTTTCGCGTTAACACCACGACGAACAAAACCGACAGCGAAACCAAGCGAGCTACAGAACTGCAGCTACTTCAGCTCCCAATTGTACATGTATATGCCACTCTAGATAAATATATGTGTCTTCAAGAGACGCATATATAATTAAATTGGGCTGCGATAGAAAATGAAAAGTCTTCTACGGACTATTTGTAAATTAAAAAGCATAAAAAAATGTTTTTCTATTAAACAGCGCCACCGACGACAGAAAAAGTTGACTGCTAGTCCTTGGAAATATATTATAAGTTTGAAATGCCTTATATAATACATGTAACTGCACTTCATACTTACAGCTTTGTATCATCTCTGTCAGTGTCTCCAATGCTATTTTATCGGCTTCATGAAAACCGACGTCGCAGCACAAAGCAGCAACGCAAGTTGATACTGCTTTTCGTCGGGCAGCGCACAAGCTTGAATTTCCAGTCGAGGTCATTGTATTGGTAATATGGTTGCGGTTACCACACAAGTTATACGAATGTTTTGCTAATCACCCACTATAAAAAGTGGATTGCAAGTGTATCATTTAGCGGCGAAGACTGCGATACGACAATTATTTTGAGCAAAAAATATTACAAATAAAAATTACAATACATAAGTCCGCCATCTTAGGTTGTATGATTGTTTGCCCTCTCGTAACTCGTGGGCGTTCCCATTCTACCATAGAGGATATATGTGGGATCATTCAACTAATATGATCAAAATTAAACTCGTAGCTATTTGCCAAAATCAAAGTTCGTATAAAACCTAATTTTGAATTGCTTTCAGAAATTCACATCAAATGATATTCATAAAATCATCATATAATTGTGAAAACCCCGAGAGAGTTACACCCTTTACAAATGGAATGACCCATCACGGCTTTCACTATCATTTAGATAGACAAGAGAAGTGTATGGATGGATGTGTGTTCAGGATTCTCTTGTTGTTACGGCTTACTCTCATTCTCCTGCAATATCACCGATAGTCTATAACACATGTGCGTAGCTTCACATATTGACCAGCTATCTTATTGAAATGGGGGAATCAGAAATTTCGCTTCCTAAAATTGAAAGTTATTGAAAATACACAGAAGAAAGCAAGACTCGTAACACTGACAGCAGTCTGCCAAAGGCTGGCGTCTGTTATTGTGAACGTTGTAAGGATTAAACACAGTTTCCTTCAATCAAGTCAAGTGCCGACCGGGATGTCTGCATCAGCTCCTGGTTCAACGACTACCTCTCCAACTGCGGTAGGGTACCAGAGAACGTCACAGATATGCCGTGTTACAGGTATGTATACTTAAAAAGCAGTCGAACTTTACAATAAAAATTTGTAAAATTTAAAATTCATGAACTATTCTTTATTTTAGATTCATGATCATGATGATGATAATATTTTAGCTTTGTGATATGGTAAAATGTTACCTGTCTATACTAGACTTTAGTATTCTTTTTTTTACCACTTTTTTTTCACAAGTAACTCAATGGAGCAGTGACTGGAAACTATCTATATTATTTTTTTTTGTTCCAGTCACACAACCCATGGAACTATGCACAGCTAAACACATGATATGTTTTATATGCTATGACTGGCTTACTATAATATATAGTGTTTATATACACGTGTATCATTTTTTAGATTTCAGTTTTACTTTTAAATTAATTATTAATATTAACAAAAGTAATGATAATCAAAATAAAAGTACTATTCATTTTTTTTTCTTGCTGGAGATACTAGTATATGATCAACAAAAATAAATAGGAGTGAACACTACACATGTCTCCTCACACACACACAATAAACAGAAAATAATTGGGCTGGGATAATAAATTTCTCGTATATTTTTTTTTTTTTAAATTGGGCAATTTTTTATGTTTTTATCACGTGTCCCTGAACCAGTCATTACATGAAACCTCAGTCCACATCATGCATGGGGATGTTAGAAATTCATTAGCATAACAATAAAGCAATAGATGCCATCAGTGACACTGGAAATGACGTCATAATACCACTTTCTATATGTGGTTCTATTATTTTGTTTGATTAAATTGGACACTAATATACATTTTTCTTGTCATGAAAATATTTCATGTACATGTAATAAAAAGTATATTTTTTGGGCAACCCCTAATCTGTAGCTTAGCTGCAATAGACTAATGTAATTATTATAATATAATGTGAACTAGGAAGGATTTAATTTCATACCTTCTTTTCTACTGTACCGTAATAATATTTTCTGATAATGTAAAGCAGTAATTTTAAATGTTTGTCTAGATAAAGATTATTGATAACCATATGTGAAATCTTTGATCTCAATCACCATGACAACTCCACATATGGACTGTCCACACACCTTAATGAAAACAAGTAATATTTCATCACCACATGGTTTCCTAAGATATAACATACATGTATAGTGTATGTATCCCTTTTTTTCTCTGATAGAACGTGATTATTTTGGAAACTGTTCACTTTAATGTTGGTTTTTGGAATATGATGATTAATGTACAATATCATGTTTTTAGTAATGGAAATGTTGCGCAATGTGGTATCAAAGAGTTGTTAATCAGGAAATTGACAGAAAAATTAAATATTAATAAGGTTACCGTATGTAGCTTACACATGTTCTGGTATATATAGACACGTTTTGAAATGACTCACTGCAAATTTGGATTTCTGGTCAAGGTTTGAGATATGTTAATGTGAGAGTGTTTTTACACTTAATTTTGTTTCAGAGTATGTACATTGATATTTGAACAATAAGGGTCTGTTTCCTGTCCACTTTTAAAGTACCGTTCTTTGACGTCAGGGATAAGTGAACCATTAGTAATAACAGTGCTTTCCCTGGACAAATTTCTTATATTTGGGGTCAATTTACATAACAATGTGATATACTTATCACCTATCTGGTGTTTATTATCATGGTAATTGTACTGGTATTGTTATTTTAAAAATTATGAGTAATAGAGCCATTAAATTATCATGCATTGGGGAGAACCTTGAATATTTCTAATTTCTACCAAACTAACCATATATGTTTGTTTTTCAAACCAGATTGAGAAAACAGTATGGGGGTATTAATAGTAAATGGTACATATGTGACAGCAGGCGTATAATGAAATAAAAAGTAATGTTGTCTATTGTGGTGATGAAATTTACACGTATACAGTTCTCTGAATCTACACACACATATATATATATATATATGGTAATTTAGAATGAAATATTTTTATGGGTTTTATTGAAATGAATGGATGGTTAGATTTGCATACTTTCATTGGCAATTTATTTCAAAATTTTGTGTTGAGTAATAATTAAACCAGTGAAAAATCACTGAAAAATTGGGAATGCTACAAAGACCAATAAATTCATAAAAAATGGTAAATAGTTAATTAATCGTAGAACTTGGTGATTTTACACTGAAGAAAGGCTATCTTTCAGTCAGCTGCCTGTCTGCCTGTCATTTTTGACAGGTTCAAAATCTCATTTGACAGGCAAAATCTTTACAAATCTTTTCAATTTTCATTGAAAATTCCCTGTAAATTACAAAATAAATATCAAAAAATAGACCAAGACTATTGCTACAGACTAGCAAATACTATTTTTTATTTTTTAATAAAGTTCACAGACAGGCACTTTCAATTTTCTGGTTACAACCCTGGAGGCCATTGCCTTAAACATCTATCGGGTATTTATATTAAATAAGTACCGTGGACTTTTTTTTACCTATATTTCTATATAGGAACGTTTACTGAATATGGCATAGCATATACCAGTATCACACACAATATTGAAATGAATTTCATTTGATTTGAATCTAGGATTCATTGTATGAATTTACAAGCTGTTCAATCTTGTTTGGGTAGAAACACTCAGAAGCATTTAAATTATTTATTTTATTTATTTATTAATCCATTTTATGATACAACAACTGTCAGATTACCGGTAGTACGGTTTTCAAGTCTAGACACATAATTCCCTGTTTCAATATCTAGCTTGTACATGATTATTCATTGTGCCATCTTGTGTACTTTTCTCAGTATGCCTTCTAAGTGATAGGATGTATCACTGTTGCACATGGAATTTTTTGTGGCGCAAGTAGTTATGCTAATTTCCCAGTGCGTCATTGACGCAACACTACAGATGTTCATACATTGATAGTCGAGTAATTGTCAAAAATATCTTATTAATATAGATATGTAATTTGAGATTTGGTAAATACTAATATGAAATTCACATTTTATAGTTTGTGCCTTCAGAAGCTTGCTACAGTATCATACAGTGTACATATACAGGCTTTATTCTCAAGGTGACCTAACATGATTCTTGGAATTTGAACTTTAGATCCGCACAAAATCAGTTAGAGGGCATACTTGTACTAATCACAATTTTGGATTAAACTGATCTCTTTTAATCATTCCAATTTATCCTTACCCTGGGATTAACTAATCTTACAAAAAAATGTCAATAAATTTGACTTTTATTTGCAATAACGTTTGGCACCACGCGTTTTTGTGACACAAGTCTATGGAACGAGCCATAGCTCTTCTGTGCTGATATCATCCTAATATCTAAAAACAAAAAAATTCAAGAACACAAAATGGATCAGAATTGACTAAAATATCATCACAAAGACAAAAGACCAACATAAGAAGAGCTATGAACCGACAGCTGTACTCAATAGTGAACATTAAACGGAGAACTATACTCAATAGTGAACATTATGCTATTGAAAATCTTTGAGCGAATGACCTTAATGTACATACATGTATATGATACTGAATTTGCTGTTTTGATGACTCTCCAACACACTGTTGGCATTATTTTTCTTTATTATAAGCTTTTTGTTGTTGAAATTAAAACATTGAAGTCATATATTTGTAAGCATACATTTAATTTGAAACTGACATAAATGAGCGACATGCTTAAAAAAAATATACTGGTATATATATTGGGCAAATCAAGATTTCCTGAGTTGATGCACCATGCAATCTAGTTTCAGAAATGAAACAAAAAATTTGTCAAAGTATGCTGTAAAAATAATATGTATTACTAGAGGTACATTTCTTGGGGATTGCAACGCGCATAATACTGTATGGTGTCATCATCTCGTAGATAGCGAGACTGATGCTACATTGTACGACCTTCTGACATGACACAGGCGGTTTGTAATAAAACAATAAAATATGTTACCATATTCATAGTGAAAAAATGTAATACATCGAAAATGTACAGAAAATATAGTTATCGTAATCCGTCATATCGTGAGCAGCTATTTTGATCCACCTGGACATCCCAGTATCCTAGTTTCCTCGGGCATGCGCATTTGCATTATTCTGAGTTTAAGCTTATGCGAGAGCGAGATTGAAACGGGATCTTGGTATCATGTCACCGTAGTTGCAAACCCCAAGTAATATACCCTTGATATTACCCGGTAGATACTGTGTCATTTGTTAACGTGCATGGTCTAAGGTAATTAGCTGCATGTACCAAAGCCCTTCTGAGAACTGTACCTATATTTTTATTCACTCAAGTGGCAAAGTTGTCACATTACGTTTATCATGTACGGTGTATTTCATGAACCAAAACCTTTAGCTTGCGATTTTCCCGGTTTTCCCCCGTATGCTTCATTACCTATTTAATACTGTTAGGAAATCCAATTATTGTGATAATGATATGTACTGTAACTGTATAGAATCATACTTGTACATGTAGGTGTCTTCTTACATCTTGTACACCTCCACTGTGGGTCTTACTTTAAAATGATTTACACCCCCATGCTTTCTCAGGATTAAAATGTTAGAGAATCAACAAATGATCAACTCCATATCCAGTGACCATAGTAGGATTTTTCATGTGAGAATACATTCCATCGCCAATGTTCTAGTACTGTCTTTGCTCTATTAGAAGCCCATCTCCAATATATAAACTAAAAATTACATGTATTGTACACTGAATCTTTAAAATAATCCTTATTTTTCCCTCCATAGAAATATTCCTGTAAGCTGTAATGTACATAAGCAGAGAATAATAGAAAAAATACACTACTGTAAAAGGATTAATTATTCACTGGGTTTTAATTTTGCTTATTTCGCTGACTGGAAAATGCCCTAAATTAAAACCCAGTGAATATGTAAAATTTTGCATAGAACACATTATCTAAATGATAAAACCGTGAATTTAAAACCCACTGAATATGCCTGAAATGGTAAATCAGGGAAATTTAAACCAGGTAGTACAAATTAGTCATTTTACAGTATATGTACTTGTACTAATATATACATGACAT